GACGCCCCCCAGCCCGTCATGGCGGCCAGCGTCTGGGCCCCCTCGGCCTCGTCGTGCCGCTGCCCGGCCGGGTCCACAAGACAGAGCTTGGTGGCTGGGCCCCCCACCGCCCCCGCGCCGCCGCTGCTCATAGTTCACTCCGGCTCCCGGCGCGAGACAACCAACTACCACCAACCACCAAGCTCGAGCGCCTGGATTGCTTCCCTCGCCCCGCCCTCCCGGTGCGCGGATTGGATGCCGGGGAAGTGGCCGGGCCAATGGCTCGGCGGTTTCCGTCCCACGTGGGGGGGAGGAGGGCGGCGGCGATTGGCCGAGGCGGCGGACTATCCAAGGTAGAGGAGCGCCGCTCTCGACCCTCTCGCCTCGTGGGGGCGTTGGCAGCTGATTGGCCGGCGTGGAATTCCCCCCCCTTCAATGGCAGGAGGCTTGACCTATCCGCCTTGCCCAGTCCTGTTCCGTTGATTCAGTTACGTCGATGCCACCGGCCGCCTAGGCGCGGCGCATGCGCACTGCTGAGACCCGCGATGCGTCTGCGCAATGGACAAGCCTAATAAAGCCTGTGCTCCCCAGAACGTAGGGACAGTGCATGCCCAGTAGGGTAGGCTTGCATGTGGGTGTACGTAAGGGGAGTTTTGCATGCTGGCTGACCAACTGGCTGTGAGTGCGCACGCACCCATGCAACCTGGGGGTTACAGTGTACAATAAGCTGAATATGAGCGTGTGTGAAGCGTGGGTGTGCATGTCCTTGTTTAGGGCACATCTAGAACACGTGTCCAGTTTGCACTACAGAAAGGATGTGGACAAATTGGAGAGAGGCCAGCAGAGAACAGTGAAAATGGTTTGGGGGCTGGGGCACAGGAGATGAGCAGAGGCTGAGGGAACTGGGCTTATTTAGTCTGCAGAACAGAAGGCTGAGGGAAAATTTAATAGCAGCCTTCAATTCTGTGGAAGGTGGTTCCAAAGAGGATGGAGTGAGACTGCTCTCAGTGGTGGCAGATGGCAGAATAAAGAGCAATGGTCTCAAGCTGTAGCAAGGGAAGTTTAGGTTGGATGTTAGGAAAATCTTTTTCACTGGGAGGGTGTAAAGCACTGCAACGGGTTATCCAGAGATGTGGTGGAGTCTCCATCCTTGGAGGTTTTCTAGATCTCGCTAGACAGAGCCTTAGCTGGGATGATCTAGTTGGGGGGATTTGAACTAGATGACTTCCGGAGGTCCTTTCCGGTCCTCCTTTTCTATGATTCTATGACATATGGTATGGTGCCTTGCACAGTGGAACACTTAACTGGCCATGGGTGCACACATGTGCAACACATTCCACAGTGCTCTGGATGCCAGGCTGTCAGCAGGCCAAGAATGCAGACACATATGAAACCTGTGTCACAATGCCCTGCATGCTGGGGAGCCAGTTGAAAGTCTAAAAAAAAAAAGGGGCACCATGCATAAAACACTTGGAACGTGTACAGCCAACTGAAGGCCACGGTGGGAAGGAAACTGGACACCATAGAGCACAACTATGCCCCCTGCTGTTCTACAGTCTCCTCCCAGGGCTTCCAAGCCCACTCCTGCCCAGCCATGTACTGCTGCTGCCTTCTTTTGACTGCCTGTAGTGTTGCTGAGTCACAAGTAGGCTTTTCCTTGGGGGCCTGTGTGAGGATGGGGAAGCAGGGCTTGTAGGGAATTGTGCTGGGGTGTGGGCAGCACGGTCCCAGGATGTGGCAGAGGCATCAGGTCACAGGGGTGAGTGGAGGAGGGGTGCAGCACTGCATAAAACCCCTGCTTAGTTTTTACTGACAATCACACTTTTTTCCCCATAGATGGCGTTTAACTCCCTAAATTTGAATACAGCCCTTCTCATCAGGCCCTGGCAGCCAGACAGGGCCTGATGGCAGCATTACATTTAGTGAAACTTCTAAGAATAAAAACACATGTCAGTAAGGAAGTTGGGTTGTCAATAAAAAAAAAAAAAATCGATAGATTATCAGTGACAAATGGGTAACGCATAGGGGGTACATGTGGGTGCATGTGCACCCCCTACAAAAAAGGTGCCACCAACACTCAATGGCACCTGCAGGCGGTCACTGCTTGCCACTCTGCCACCAGCACTGCCAGTGGCATCTGCGGCGGTCCACAATCGGGGGCATGCACCATTGTTCATGGTGAAAAATCTATCCTTGGGCTGACAACCCTGCTGGTATGTGCCAAAGTGTCATGCATGGGGTCCATGGCAGGTATATGTAATTGGGTAAGCTTGTATGCTGGGAATAGTGCGACGCATACCATCATGCAGCATGGCCAGCAAGATAACATGGGCTAGGCATTACACATAAGAGTGCAATGGAAAGAGGCAGCATGCCAGGTCATAAGAATGGGCCTGGCTCCTGCATCGTTACTCAGTCCTGCACAGACAACCCTATGGATGTGGCAGGGGAAGGTGTGTCACATGAGAGAGGTCCATGCAATCAGGGAAGGCCGATGAGGTCTGGGGTGTTAGAGCAGGGGAGGCTGGGAGCTTGGACGCCTGGGTTCTCTGGGAGGGGAAACACCCCCGAAGGGGGGCAGGGTTGCAGGGAGCTGCTGCATTGATCTGGGTCACAAGTGAATGGTGCAATGTACTCAAATTGAGAGACTCCCCATCCCCCCCTCTCCAAAGGGTTAAATAGGACAGACTCCCCCCATTTCATCTCCATGTGGTATTATTCTTGGCTGTTCCCCAACCTCTCCACCCCAGAGCTAGTTATAGTGGTGCCTACCCTGGGTGGCATTACACTCATCCATTCCGTCATCCCACCCCAGAGCTGGCTACATCTCAGCCCTCCCTGCATCGCATTCTCCTCAGCCACTCTAAGCACCCCCCATCCCCCAGCAGACCCGAAACTGCCCCCCTCCCCATGATGTTATCACAGTGTCTGTGTTCGAAGAAATCCCAGCATGACCTTTGCATCAAACTTCAGTGGAGGGGGTGAGGGGGCATATCAACCTTGGAGCAGGAAACTGAAACCTTGAGCAAGAAGATTGAAGGGGAGGGGGCACAGGGTTTTCCAAGACCACCCACCTCTCCATGCATCAGCTTGCCTCAGAGAAGTCCCCTGAGCCCCCACTCTCCTCCCAGAGAATGAGGCCTTGGGGCACCCAGCCCCCTCCCTTCCCCCCCTCCCCCACTTTAACCCCCTCCAGACCTCACTCTTCTAGAGCAGTAGTTCTCAACCTTTTTTGTACCAGGAACCATTTGTAAATATCAATAGCCAGTCCCGGCCCAGTGCCCCTCACTCCTGACCCAGCACATGGGGGCAGGGGGTGGGTGAGTGGGGCAAGGGAGGGCTGTGGGGCATGGGGAGCCCCAAGCAGCCCCTTGCAGGCTGGAACTCTGGCAGCCTGCAAGGGAAAAGCCACGGTTTCCCACATTTTTCTTATTTAAAAGAGAATCCATTTTTAAGTTTGTTTGCCACCCTTTCATATATTCTTGTGACCCACTTTTGTGTCACAACCCACAGGTTGAGAAATGCTGTCCTAGAGAACCCAGCTCTCCTGGCACCCAGGCCCTCCCTGCTCTCATCCCCTAGAACCCACTTCCCAGAGAACCCAGGAATCTGGGCACCCTCTGGGAGGGGCATGAGGTTAGGGTGGGGAGACTGGGTTCTCTTGATGGGAAGTGGGGTCTGTGTGGAGATCTAGGTTGCAGCCTGGACGCCCGAGTTCTTTTGCAGGGGAGTGGGTTCTGATGAGGATTGGGAGCCCGGACATCTGGGTTCTTCTGTTGGCATTCCTCAGGCTCAGGGGACAGCGAGGCAAGGGTTTAGTGCCCCCTAGCCCTCCTTGAGGGATGTTGTACTTGGCCATTCCCAAGCTGCTCCACCCTAGAACTGCCTGCATCCTGGTTCTAGCTGGACCCTGCCTGTGGGGTGTTACCTGACCCTTCCCATAGTTGGGGACTGGGGCTAGGCCTTGTCCCCTCCAAGCAGCCCCGATCTGGACCCAATTCCCCCTTCAGGAATTAGGCCATATAGCTGCAACTGGGATGATGTTTATTAGTGCCACACTGTGCACAGATGCCCTGCCCCTCATTTAAGGCCTCCTTGTAATCAGCAGCTCATAGAGTCCCGTGATGTGAGGAAGAGGGCAAAGCACAGCACTGGGGGTGGAGCCTCAGAGGGGGACAGGCAGAGAGGTGAGGTGCTGGGAGTCCGAACCCCTGGGTTTCCTCCAGGTCTGGATAAGGAGATTGAAGTTTGGTGGGTGAGAGCAAAGGCAAGGCTGGGAGTCCAGACAACTGGGTTCTCTGCTTCATGAATAAATAAATAATCTCTCTTCCTCTTTTGAGGGGAGGAGCATTAGGCCACACCAGGGCTCATGAAAGCCCTGCCCCTGCCCCTATACAAAAATAAATAGGGGTGCAGCAGGATTGGGGGCATGGGCTTAGATCCACAGTGGGTAGTGGTTAGGTCCACTTGGGGGCCTTAAGACCACAGAGGCAGGTCTTATACCCACAGGGGTGGGGCTTAGGGCCACCAGGCCAAAAGCAGGCAGAGGGCCAGGGTGGTGGCTGGGGCGGGGCCACTGCAGGCCACACCCCCTCCAACCAAGGCCAGGGAGGCATGAGCCAGGGCAGCCCCCAGCCCCGGGCCCCTCCCCCCAGCAGCCAGGGAACCTGGCGTTCGGGCAGGCACAGCCAGGGCAGGCCCCATTGGCCGGCAGGCACCCTCCAGCAGGGCTGGGGGGCTGTGGCGGGCATCCTCATCGTTGTCAGCTGCATGCCGTGCCATTTCCTCCACCAGGGCGCTGTTCAGAGCCCGTTCCGGCCCCATCTGGTCCAGGGGACCCAGGGGTCCCCCCAGTGCCTCAGCCTGCAACTGGCTGAGATGGGAGAGGTAGAGCTGCTCTAACTCCCAGTCCACAGCCTCCTCATCTGACCACAGGGCCACAGCAGGCTCCTCCGGGCCAGTGGTGGGCAGCACTGGAGTGGAGCCAGCTCCCAGGATGCTTTGCACCACAGAAAGGTCAAGGGGCGCTGGTGCTGTGGTGGTGACCATCAAGGCTGGAATCTGCAGAGGGAAGTGGGGGATGACAGCAATCTCAGCCTGGTGGGGGATCTGGACAGCTCTTGGCATCCCTTTATCTCAGTTGGGGGAGTCTCCACAGTGCCCTGTGTCCTCTGATCCTGGCCCAGGGGGTCTGTACAGTGCCTGGCATCCCTCACTCTCTACCTGGGGTGTCTGTACAGCACCTGGCATGCCCCTGTCTCAGCCTGGGGGGTTTGTATAGCATCCAGTGCTCCGCCAATTCCAGCGTGGTGGGTGCTTTTACCTGTCTTGTGAGCTGCAGCTGGTCAGGGGTCAGTGATTCGTTCTGGGTTTTGCTTTCTGGGGTCTCCTCTGCAGAGAGGGACAAGACCAGTTCTCCTGTAATAGCAAGGAGGGCACTGCTAAGGGAAGCTCACAGTGCCAAAAAGGGGCATTGTTGTGGGGAAAGCTCACAACACTCACCTTCATGATAGACCAGGAATGGAACTTCATCTGCTCTCAGCTCCTTCTTGCCCACACTGTGGAGAAGGGACAGGGGAAAATGGGGTTAATGAGGCATTTGTTATATACCAGTCACCCCTGGGCAGAGAACCTGGGCATCTGGTGCCCTGATCTCAGCCAGGTTCAGCCCTGATCCCGGGTTGGGGTGTTTGGACAGCACTTAGCACTCCCTGATCCCAGCCTGAGGGTCTGTACAGCCCCCTGATCTCAGTCTAGGGTGCAGGAGGGCATCTGTGTGTCTGTCTGTCTACTCTTCCAGACAGTGAGACCAGACACATAGCAGGTTGGAAACCAGGCTAATTCTCTGACACACATTCACCATGGGAGAGAACCCAGGCATCCGGTCCTGTCCCCTGCCACCCTCTTCTGTCCCACCAGAGCCCACTCCTTTCCCAGACCTAGGAGTGAAACCCAGGTGTCCAGGCTCTCACTATGTACTAGATCCACTGCCCCACTCAGCTGAGGAGAGAACTCAGGCATCTGGGCCTCTAGCTGCCAACACATACAAGCTGCCCAGACACCCCTGGGCCAAGATAGGGGCTATGCAAGGTGCTGTACAGACCCTGCCCCTCTTAGTGCCAAGACTCGGGCTGCATCAGGTGCTGTACAGAACCCCCAGGTTGTGATCAGGGGGCACTAGGCACTGTACAGACCCTATGCAGGGACCACGGGGTACCAGATGCTGTGCAACCTCCCCAGCCCAGGAGTGGGAGATGCAGACTCCCTAGGCTGGAATCAAGGGGGCACCAGGAGCTGTACAGACTCCCCACCCAGGCTTGGATTAGTGGGGGTGCACCAGAAGCTGTACAGACAATCCAGGCTGCGATCAAGGCCGCCCAGGGAGCTGTACAGCCCCCTTCCCGCCAACACACACACACTTCCAGGCCCAGATCAGGGGAACCTGGCTCTGTACAGACCCCACAGGCTGGGATCCATGGACGTTAGGTGCTGTACAGCCCCCTCCCCTCCCCCCGCAAAAGCTGACTGCTGTACCAAGGCCCAGACCCAGCCACGCTCTGGGTGTTTCCTGCCTCCGTAGAAACTGTTTCAGAGAAAACAGCCAGAGGACGTGATTTTTTCATCCCCCCGCCTCCCCCAGGCTCTCTGGCGTCTTGATGAGTTACCCTCCCCCTGACTTTCCCCTCTGGTATGTTCTGCTGCCCCCACCATTATGTGAAGCCCTGCCCCATCATGGAGGGGAGGAGGGTCTGGGTATTTTCATGTGGATTGGCTTTCTTCACACTGCACAGTGGGTGTTGGAGTCCAGAGAGGAATCTAGAGAACCCGGGCATCTGGGTCACCCACCACCTCCTGGTCTAACCCAGCAAGCCAGGCTGCCTTCCTGGGGAGCGCAGGCATTTGAGCTATTTCCACTCCCAACTTTAATCCACTCCCTCCCTAGAGAACCCAAGCTTCTAAACTCCCAGTGCCCACCCCCAACCTGCCAGACCCCACTCCCCTCCCAAAGCAGAGAACCCAGGTGTCCAGCCCTTCAGTCCCTCCTGCTCTCACCACCCCCAACTCTCACTACACTCCTAAAGTACAGAGGGAACCCAGGCATCCAGGCCTCAACCACCTTACTCCAACCCACCTGCCCCCACTGCCCTCTCAGAGAACCCAGGCATCCATCTGCACTCCCAGCAGCCTCTTTGCTCCAGCCCCCCAGCCCTCAGTCCTCTCCCACAGCAGAGGGAGAACAGAGATGCAGGGGTCTGGTGTCCCTTTTAAGCGGCTTGGGGGTCCCATGGGGGGTTAGAATGATCTGGGGTGGGGTGGGTGTGGGGGTCTTCATGAGGGTGTTGAGGGGGCCCCATTTGGATTCCTGGGTCTGAGGTCTTGTGGGGAAGTTGTGGGAGGCTGTGTGGAAGGGCATGGGGGTCTATATAAGGGATTGTGGGTTCTGGGAGACAAAGGGCTCTGGGGGGGTCAGGAACCCTGTGGAGGTTTGAGATCTCTGGGGCAGACTGGAAGAGGGGGGGCCTCTGTGAGAGGTTGTGGGGGTCTGTATAGGGGTTGGAGACCCTGGGTCTCTGGGTCAGGTCTGGGGATCTCCGTGGAGGGGGGGCAGTGGGGAGTCGGAAGGGGCCTGGGGGACCCTGTTACCTGTCAGCGCCTGCCTGCACGCAGTTCCAGCCCGCCTCGGGGGTTCAGGAGGGTCCAGTCCCCCCTTCTCCTCCCAGCTGGGGTCCAGCAGGCACAGTCCCCCCATGTCCAGCCTGGCATCCCCCCTTGCCACCACCACCTTGAGCCCCAGAGACCAGGGGGCGCAGTTCTCCTCCTGCCCCACCAGGGACAATAGCGGGACAGGGAGGGGCAACCCAGGATGGGGCCAGGGCTGGTAGCACCGGAGCTGTGCCAGAGGCAGTCCCAGGGCATCAGCAAACAGCACCCGGCGTCCAAGGGCATGCTGAGAAGACAGGACAGGGCAGGGGGGCCCTGGGACATGCTGGGAAGGGGGCAGTTGGTGGCAGTGCTCCAGAGCATGCTGGGAAGGCAGGCAATTGCAAATGGACCCCGGGGCATTCTGGGAAGGGGGCAGTTGACAGCACTGCCACAGGGGATTCTGGGATGGGGGCAGTTGGCAGCAGTGCCTTGGGGCTGGCTGGGTAGGGGGCCCTTGGCGTGAGCGCCCTAGAGGATGCTGGGAGTGCAGCCAAGCAGAGACAGGGGAGAAGGAGCGGGGGGGCCAGGGCACGGGGGAGGAGTGGGGCAGCAAGGCTCGGACAGGGGGGGCTTCCTCCTCCTCCTGCCCCTGCCCTTCCCCACCAGGGGGTGGGGGCGGAGGCAGAGTGCGCAGTGGCGAGGAGCAGGACGAGCCTGCCATGTCAGTGGCAGCTGAGGCTGGGGGGGGGGGGTGGAG